AGTTTAGTGTGCTTGACCTCGGAGCAGGGGCATCTTAAGTTCAGCACAAAAACAAAACAACCAGCACTAGCTCAACAGATAGTTTGTGTCCCTTAGTTGTGCCTTGCAAGTCTGAGAAATATAAATCATAAGTAGTAGCAGCATTTTTGTTTAATGATGTAAAGATGTGCAGAACCACTTCACACATCAGGTCAGATTTCTGGATGCTTGGCCATTCGTTGTTTTTCCCCATTTCCATTATTTACGCTAAGCTAGGCTAATCAATGTTCAACTCTGGCTCCATGCACAGACACAAGAGTGTTATCGACTTTCTCATCTAACCCTGCATATTTCCCAAAATGTCAAATATGTCCAGTGAAAAGCCATCAATAATGCAAACATTTAGATTTGTATACATTTACATTTCGTTTGAGAGGAACAAAGAAACGGTAAATGGGTTTATATTTTGGAAGTTATACAGTATATTTGGTTATAAATATCTCAGCACCTCCACTCACAAAATAATTACCATTTCCTGCAAATGACTAAGAATTTAAGGTTTTTTTATTTGTGAAAAAGTATATACCGGTAGCTAAAATAAACCACCCTTCCTTTCTGCCAGGTGAGAACATTGTATATCGAAAATGTCCGAAATTATTCAACTCAAAACAGACACCTAATCAAAGTTATGATGTTTTTGTATGACCAATATTCAGGATGACACCCTTCTTTCTCTCTATAGTAATTCATTGAGGGTCCTACTGATGCGCCTGCAGTATGGATGGGCGCATCATGCGGCAACTGAAACCTGGTGCACACCTCCTCAACCTCCACGACATATAACTGCCTAATTTGTCTGTCAGGCCAGATTGGATGGTAAGTGTGATAGATTCACCGACCTCCACCAGTGACAGTCCCATAGGTGTAAACAGAGCCAGCCAATCGTATCACCAGTATGGAGAGATTATTTTACTCAATTATCAGGATTGTCCATCCAGAGGCAGACCAATGCAGCGTTTCTTCTATTATGGTCTGCAGGGGAATCCCATTGGATGATTCAGAGTTGATTCATAGTATTAGACATAAAGGTGAGCTGGAGGAGAAGCTAATGCAAAGTGCTCTGAGCCTTGAAAACTGAACCGCTTTGTTGAAATTGCTTGTGGCAATGGATCTGCTCTGAAGCACGGAAAAAAATCACGTATCCCTAAAGGCTCTGATGCATACACATTCACAATTACATATGGTGTACACATCTCTGCAAAAAAACCATACACACAAGGTGTTGAGTGTTTGTGGGCATACATAGATGCTCCATCTGTAACTCCGCTGTCCAATATTTTCTCCATATCATCTTGTTATCCTAAGGTATTGATGAAATTAAACATAGATTTATGGTCCTGCCAAAATGTCTTGATTACTATTGTTTTTATGTGATTTATTTCCATACTGCTGCAATTAACATGCATGTGGCCAACAGGGCTATTTCTTAAGAAGAGCAGCCCTTATTTCAATATGTGTCAAACTAATTGTCGTTTCACGTCAATTATACTGACTTGTTCTTTGTACCGTACACCTTTAGGGGTAGGTGTAAGAGCTGCATCTTATTGCATCAGTACTCATACACAATGTTTGAAGACGCTTGGAAATGTATTATCTTATTGGTATTCGCCCTCCATCTTGTCCCATGTTGCCTAACAGGCTGACTCGTTTTTCTTCTTTTCAAAAAGGTCAATTATTAGCACCTTGGTTAGGTAATTTATCACTAGCAGGGCACTTGAACCTCCATTTTTCAAGTGATGGATGCTGCACACATTCTTGCAGCAGAAGGGGAACCAATAAACTTGAACCAATATTTTATAGGTTATGAGTGTGTTCTGCCTCACTAGCCATCAGCAGTGTCCTTCACTCCATGGCAGACCTATCGCAAATCAGCAATGCAGCACGTTCAGCAGTTGTATAATTAATGTATTTGCTTGCACAATGCAATCATCCTGTGTCAACAAAAGGGTCATGTGTATTTTTCTGCAGCTGGAGGTGAAGCAGTGTTACGTACATGAGGCATGCAACACTGGATACATAAAATCATAAACCTTGTTTGTTAAACATCAACAATCCCTCAGCAAGAAAGATGTATCTGTTCCATTATGAATCAACGCTACATGAATCTCTGCATGCATTGAGAAGGACTGAGTTGCATCTACAGTTTGATCACCTGTGTTTGAATTATTCAAGCACTTTATTTTAAAAAAGGTCTCCACCAGGGAGTGTTTACACTGAGGAAGTTATTTGGTATATGTTACAAAGGGTATTCTGAGTAAAGTATTTTTGGCTACAAAGGAAGTGGCATGAAATCTGTTGAAAAGCTTATAGTGATGTCACTTGAGCAAGCATGGGTTGTGTTTCTTGTGTGAAAATTGAACAAATCTGGTATCGGAATTTAGAAACAAGTTGGCTTAACCATCCAATTCTCTGAATAAACTGGATGTTGTTGAGTTGCATTGCAGGTAACGTAGGCAGAAGGTTTTGACAACGACGAAGAATGCAAAGTGGGTATCACAGTTTGTAACTCTCCATTGTGAATCTGACAATGTTATAGGAGGGTAATCTGTGAAACACTCGAGCTACAAGGTTAGACAAACAACGTGTGAAAAAAAGTGTAGACAGCTTCCTATTAAGACTTCTCATGAGACAGGACAACGCATTAGTCCACACTAGTAAATTAACGTGTTGACATATTGTTTAAGAAAACTAAAAACTCTACATTGTCCCCATTTTTCATCGTAATATCATCTCGCAAAATAATAATGTCCTTTATGGGCTTCAGTTTGTAATCATGCTATCATTCTTGTCAGTTTTCAATAGTTTTATTTTTCCAAAATACTGTTTTCTTGCTCAAACGGATGTTTACAAAGACCTTGTATGTGTAAACATTCCATCAAAACGTTGGGAGCTTGAAAATCTCAGTGTGCAGACAACCTCTCTTTTTCCTTTGTTGGTTGTTGTTCTTTTAAAATCCTGAACCTGGAGGCGTTCACTGGCTATATATCACAACGGCTATAATTCATGTGCCAGTTTTGTTCCGAGACTTTGTTGATTCACTTATGTCCTTTGAACCATAGGTGACTGTAAGTGTTTTTTATTTAGTATATGTATCTTTTCAAAAATTGGGCAAAATTGGGGAATTAATTTGTTTGTAATGAATCTTTACAAATACGTTTTCTATGACAAACAGAAGTTTAAGATGATAATTAAAGATAAACCTTATAATTATGTTGTAGGAGCTCTTGTTTATAAATTTGTATATGTGGATTATCTGCAATAAATTTGGACCTTTAACTCAAAATCTAACTAAAAAGGGATTGCTGACTTTGTTTATGAATATTAGATGCACTTTTATACATTTCTTTCATTGCTAAATTCCGTTATACTGATAAAAGTCCTTTGAATGTCTCCCTGCCCAGGTGCACTCATCTGTCATGCATGACAAGCCATATCAAAATTCATACATGGAAAGCGTGAGTGTGTTAGCATGTGCGTTAACAATACGAGTGGCCCCTTCTGTGAGTGTGAAGCACAAAGCCCAGAGCATGGCCCAGTGTCACTCATGACTTATTGAACTGTGTCAGCCCCTCTCCACGCAGACCGTGCCCTCCTCCGCCTGCAGGAAGGCGGCGAAGAGACAGAAAGGGCAGGAAGACGGTGGCGAGTTCAGACCTTGGTGAGAATCTCCACCACAACAGACTCTCGAGATAAACGTCAAGAGGAACTGATGTGAAATGACGCACATTCATCCAATTTAATCTGTGTTACTTTATGCTCCGCCACGAGCACCTCAAGAGGTTGTTGGATTTCATTTTGACATCATCGTGATACACAGGGGCCATTGTCTCTTAAAACTCATGTCATGTCAAGGTAACATTTGACAACAAAACAAAATCTGTCAGAATATCTGAGCTGCTTTCAACATGCCAATAATGATAAAATAAATGTTTTTACTTCTGATTTTTGATTCATAAAACTCCCACTCAACAACTGTGCCAAACAAATAGCTTAAAGTCTTTATTGGACAGCATCTCGAACAGATACAATCCTAGAACAACATCATTTCACATAATGCTGACAAATACTCAGTATTATCTTTATAGCTCTGCAGGCCAGGCTCTAAAATGTAAATCATTCTCAATAGCCATGAGATGGCAGATAATTTCACACATGAAAATAACATTGTAGATACAGATTAAATGTAGCAGAAATTAGACCCACACAGTAAAATAAGGTGGTATTTGTTCAGCAACATTGAACTCATGGTCAGCTTTCAGCTCCGTTGGGTAAATATCAGCTACAGTTTCTTTGTTTGACACCGATATTAATCTTTTCTCTTTTTTCCAACTGCATGAGTGTGATTTATAAATAACAAAAAACAGCCATACAGAGTAGCAGCAAGCAGTCCATGACCACAAGGAAAATATATACCACTGGTATAATTTATCAGAATACATAGACATGATGTACACATGATGCAAAAAGGATCTTGGGTACACATTTCATTTTTTCACTTATCATGTCAGATGTTCATGATCTCTGCTGCTACCTTGCATTAATGTGTCAGTCTTCACATGGGAGTAGCTCACTGTGCATTGGTTCACTGCAATACTCCAAACAGGAACACAGAATACTAAAAAACCCATTACTGAATGTATCCTACAACACTGCACATTTGCTCATACAGAGAAGCATGTATGACAAGTGAGGTGTGAAGCTGGATTTCTCCTACTTCTTAAAGTCAAATCATTTTCTTCTTTTTTTAAATCAAAACAAGCTTTTTAAAGTAGCCCTGTTTTGGTTTTAGCATCACATCCATGGGATTTACTTTACTACTTTAATAAAAACTAGAATGATATATCTCATGTCTGCACATCCTCTTATCAGTCCCAGAAATGATATTTGTTATGGCATTCTTATTATATTATCTCATACATTTATATAACGTTATAATAAAACATAAATACATCTTATTGGAGACTAAAATAACATTCCTTTACGACCTGCAGCATCTGAAGCGCAAAAGTTTATGGAAAGCCTTCTTGAAGTCCTCATTGGACATTGTGTATATGATCGGGTTGACGAGGGAGTTCAGATAGCCCAACCAGGTGAAAAAGTCAAATAGCTCGGGGTTAAAACATGTTTCACACGTGGCCACCACCAATGTGTAAATGAAAAACGGAAGCCAACAAACAATATAAGCGCCGAGGATTATCCCTAAAGTCTTTGTCGCCTTTCTCTCTCTGGCTGCAGAAATACGCTTTTTCTCCAAAAACGCGTCTGACACGGTCACTTTCACCTGGTTCTCGCTTGTTGAAGACCCGGTGTCGCTGGACGGGGTGTCGTGTTTCCCACACTGCAGAGACGCCACGGATCCCGGAGAGTTGGTGACCAGGTGCGCAGAGGTGAGTCTCTTCCCCGCCTTCTTGGGGGACTGCTTCAGGATCCGTTTCCGTGCCTCCACGTATATCCGCCCGTAGAGGACAATCAGCAGCAATGTGGGGATGTAGAAAGCCCCAAAGGTGGAGTAGATGGTGTAGAAAATATGATCCGTGTTGACGCTGCAGCTGGTCAGCTCCTCCGCCTTCACCTGCCTCCAGAAGAGAGGCGGCAGGGAGATGGAGATAGCGATGACCCAGGCTGTGGCCACCATGCCTGCTGCGCGCCCCGGCGTGCGCTTTTTGGTGTACTCCACTGCGTCCGTGATGGCCCAGAATCTATCCAAAGCGATTACGCACAGGTGGAGGATGGACGCCGTGCAACACGTAATGTCCGAGGAGAGCCAGATGTCGCACACGATTTGCCCCAGCGTCCAGGTGTGGATGACCGTGTACAGGACGCAGATGGGCATCACCAGGATGGACACCAGCAGGTCGGTGATAGCCAGAGAGGCGATCAGAAAGTTTGCAGGAGTTTGCAGTTTCTTAGACTGGGAGATGGTTGCGATTACGAAGGCGTTAGATAAAGTGGTGGCGAGCGTGATAACGGAGAGGATAACTGCCAGGCTGATCTGAAAGGCGAGACTCTCTGCCACATCCACAGTGGATGGATCTGTAATAAAACTGTCGTTTGTGCTGTTCACCGGCTGAGTTGGCTCGACTTGACCGAAACTCTCCATAACTTTTAATCACTTTTTCGCATATTTTATGTTGCCCTATGAGATGTTAAGATGCCCTTTCTCTTGATGGACGTCGCCTTTTCCGTGCCATCCGGACAGATAAATGGCATAGTCAGTCAGAAAAATAAAAACGGATTCCTTTCTTCCTCATTTTCTTCTTTCACATCAGGTTTTAATGTGCAGATGCCACATTCTGGAAACAAATAAAGTATCCATTCTACGCAATTCAAACTTTTCCGTTTTGTAGCCATAAAAACAGTTCCTCAATTAAACACAACATTAAAGAAAAAATAATATGTGTGTTAAAATTCAAATGAGGAGTGGTTTGTCCTGATGTCCCAACATCTGGGACGATTTCAGGGATAATCCTCCTGTAGGGCAGAGGTTCTCCAGAGCGGTGTCTCCTCAGGCCCCCTGTGGATGAGTGGTGAGCAAACCCAAAGTCTCAGTTTTATGGAGACTCTGACATAAAACAAGCACCACTGATCAGCCTTGTTTCTCTCTCTCTATCTATCTCTCTCTCTGTGAAGAGTATCTGCTGGGTCATAGTGCCCAGTGTGTCTCATATGGTGCCCACTAAAGATTGTAATTTAACCCATAAGGACCCACCGTGACACAGGTGTCACATGAACTTTAAATGTTCTGGAAAGTTCCTTATACAGCTTTAACCTTTATTTTATCTCATGAAGTCCCTAAGTGACACACACTGAACAGTCTGGTGGGTCATGGTCCAGGACATTTGATTTTGTGTTCCCATAACAACATGTCCAAGATGTCCATGTGCCAGGCTAACACATGTGACAGAACTAGCTACATTTCAAACGCTTTTTTTGTTGCTAAAGTTAAAATTCAAGCCATTTAAGAATTAAAATGCTTACAGTACATAACATGTCCTTTATTACATTTAACCTGTTGTGGAAACATTTATTGATCAAATTGATATGAAACAAATGAGATAAATATCGCTGTGACACTGGTGTCACATCGGGACTTTAACCCTAAACTTTCACAGTAAACCCAAAGTGACATAATGCACAATAAGAAATATTATTATGATCTGCTCAGTTAATTTAGCTGATTCAATTATATTGAGTTATGTTCTTATTCTTCAATTCAAAGAATGTTCAAACTAATTTAAACCAAAAAATCATCCTCATTAATTAAGTTAAAAATAAGAGTTATTTTACCATTAAAGCCCAATGTGACGTCAGATATTTGACACTAGGGGGGGTTTCTTGTCAGAAATGTGCTCTAGGTGGTCTATTTAGTCTAAATTATGTTCCCCTTAATTTTCCCAAAAGTAGAAATGGGTCCGGGTTCTAATTGGATCAAAATACCTTTTTTTTTTCTCACATAATTGAAAATGCTTTCAATGTATTTTCTGCCAATGACCCCTTACACCAGTGGTTCTCAAATGGGGGTACGCGGACCCCTAGGGGTACGTTGGAGTACTGCAGGGGGTACGTGAGATTTATTTTATGTTAATGAAAAAAAAAAACATAATTAATGCATTTAAACAAACTACTAATAGTAGATTAACTACTTTATTCAAAAGTTTACAGTAATTCTGGATAATAAAATGGGAAAAATAAACGGGGTGCTCTCTTTTCCTCTCTCTCGTCTCCGGACAGCCGGTCAGTCTCGTGCAGCTCGCTGAACCTGTAATAAGTGGCCCAACAGTAAAGAATACACATATTTATAACTAGTTTAGCTAGTTCCAGAGTAGATAAACTAGCTAAGTGTGTTAGGTCTAACTCTTAGTGTATTTTTGCTCCGCTAAACGGTCCATCACAGCGGGTGGAGCTGTGGTCCGGAAGAGCTGCGTGTTCTCCGTCAGCAGCAGCTGATCTGATCTCTGATCTCTCTCTCGCGTCCGGTTATACTTCAATCGCGTTTATGTCCAAATCTATCAGATCTAGCTAGTTCTAGTTAATTATATGACTGCCTGCGTGTCAAAGGACCTAAACAATAAGCGTTGCTTGGCAACGGCTTGTGGCTGCAAAGTATAGTGCAGCATTATGCATTTGTTTATATGAGGGGTGAAAATCCCATGCTCATAAAATGCTCATATTTTGTTTTCTCTTCATTCCCCACGCCCCAAAATAAATAAATAAATAAATAAATATACCAATTTTAGGAAAAGTTACGAAGTTTGAGCAGTGTGGGTTTTATATTAACAGAGTTACACATATTTCAAAACGCGAAGTGTAATAACTGCAGTTTGCCTCCCTGTCAGAATGACAAAGATCCACAGTGAAGCACAAGCCCATGTTTCTCACTACATTGTAAGTACAACTTATTAAAAAGATCAGTTCAATGCCACTAATGTCGTCTTAGCGTTATTGCATGATGTTAAAATTGGTTTGCCATGAATTTAGTGATGGATTGTAAACATTTAAGTGTTTCTCAGTTACAATGTTGTTTTAATAAATCAGACACTGATGGGGCAAGGCTCAGGCTGTACTGTACCTCTTTATATAGGCATTTTTTCCCTAACAAATAGTTTTTGCGCTGATCAGGGGGTACTTGGCTGCATTTTTTTTTCAAAGGGGGTACATTATTGAAAAAAGTTTGAGAACCACTGCCTTACACAATAGAGAACATACCAGGGACGCATTCATGTACCTTGTAATTATTCCACATAGCCCATTTCTCACTCAAAATGTCAATGTTACACTTAAAACACTACAAGATAAATGTTTAACAAATATATGAGACCTTTATTAAAAATAGTTGGACCATCTTGGGAGTATTACTTTACATTATGTCAAGGTCAAATCAAGAAAAAAAGAGAAAAGTCAAAATTGGTGCAGCGACATGAAAAAGCGAAAGTAAAAAACGGAAATGTGATGTGTGCACATACTGGATTCACCAACATCTGCTATGAAGTCCCTAAATTAGATATAGTGCTTCCAATAATCTTCGTATGCTTCATAAAGCTAAAGAGCTAAAAGATTTAACTTAAAAGAAAAAATGCATGTAATAGAAGTTCCAGTAAAAGGATTGCACATTAAATCCTGCCATTTTCTGCACCTCTGAAGTGTGAATATCATGGCTGTCATTGATATTGACATTGGGTCCCTGCCAGTAACACATGAAACTGTGAACCTCTCACTCTCAGTCAGTGTTTGATGCCAGTTCTCAAGTTCACTCGCTGCCTTCACTGAGGCTGCAATCGGACAATATTCAAGAGCCGGATCATGCTTGTGAAATTAGTCTTTAGTCTTGTCAGGAAACACACACACACACGGAGAATGTCCATTTTCCAAAGGGAGGAACTGAAACCAGTAATGAATATGCTGTGATATACTATCTTCTTAAGAGGAAGCAGGCATATCCCCCCTTCTACTTCTATACATTTTTTCGCTTGAAAACCCCATCGTTTTTTCATAAAGTTTCAGTACAATGTCTCACAAAGTGTTCTCACAGTTGGTTCAAAAAGGTCTCTGAAATTGCTCTAGAAAGAAGTTTTATATAAGGATCTACCAAAAACCAAACCATATATGGTTCTAGTAAGCTTATTTATGTGTAGTCATGGTGTTTTCAACAAATCTTCAAGTCAGTTGACTATCCTCAGGTCATCAGGTCATGCTCTTTAGACCACATATCCTGACCATATGTGTAGCATTATCTTACAATTTGCCAGGGGCACTTTCTCTGTCTCTCAAAAACGTCAGCGAGTCTACTCTTACATTTTCATCTGTGAGTGTCACAATGTCAATATTATGGATTTTTTTCAATAATGACAGATTAAGAAGATATTGTATGATAATAGATAAGCGGGAGGTGACGTCTGTTGTTTTCTATCAAGTGATGAGTCAGTGCAGATGCATCGGTCTGTTTTAATCCCATTTCCACTTAAAAGTTGGGATCTCTGGTGCAACAACTAAACAGTAAACACAAATGCTAATACTGTCTCCTGCAAAAGACCTCAGTTAGACCTGAGTAGCAACCTCAACAGTGTCTCCTATGAGAGCCATAATTATGATTGACTTGATTTCAAGGCCATTGCCAAGTCCTGCGGTCATGAGTTGAAGGTCAACACCAAAACCAGCTAAACCTTTGTCTAAACACCAACAATTAATTATCTATAGCAAATCAATTGTTTAGTTTTTGCTATGTCATTGATTTGCATCACAACTAGGATGATGTAAATCCTTCTACACAATGAAAAATACAAAATGCTGATTGGAGAAATAGTGTAACGTTATCTAATCTAGCCTCCAAACCATCTTGGCCATGGCTCTGCTTTCTGGTGTCCTCATCAGTTACTCTAACCTTTGTTGTAAACTTCATACAAGCCCATTAAAAGAATAATAGATAACAACTGACAAGATCATTTGTGTCAAACATCTGAGATTCATTGAGCATGAAGGTATCTTATCAAGGTGCCCAGGAGGGTCTGTTCACTGAGGTTATCGAGAGCATCAAATCAGTTATTGCCGTTAGTTATTGTCTATAATCACATAGGTGTTTAGATTTATTACAGATGGGTGTATGTGCCATGTATGTACCACATGATATTTTTAATGTTGCTTAGTGGAGCGGATTGCTGTAGATCAACTCATTTTGTTTTAACTTGGTTGTGTAACCAGTCCAATAACCATCTCATCTTATGTATCTGATTATCTGTAGTATTTTGATTTAATTTTCCTGCATGTTATCGTCACTTTATACTTGCTCTGACACACAGGGAAAGACATTGCAAAGCGTTAAAAAGCCTTTCAGATCTTAATGAGCAAGATGCATCTGGATGGTGACACTTATCTATGGAAAGTGAACATTACAGAGTGTGGTGATGTATCTCCAATTGACTTAAACGCTGGAAAAACTCACAAAGCATACATAAATAGCTTTGAAAATCACATAGGCAATGTGCTTTAGCTCCGAAACCAGTAAATTGCTTTTGGTGTTAATGAATTCTCTCCTGGTGCGGAAAGCTGTCATTAACATTCTTGCGAAACTTAATTATACTTTCTATTTTGTTCGCCTTTGTGAAT